ATCCTAGTAGATATGAGGTGATGTGTTGTTTGGCTTTGATTTGCAACTCTCTCTAATGACTAATGACGTGTGGCATCTTTTCATGTGTTTATTCGCCATTTGTATATCTCTTTAGAGAAATGTTTTTAAGTCCTTTACCTGTTTTTAACTGGGATGCCTGTCTTTTTGTTGTTGAGTTGTAGGTATTCTTTATACATTCTGGACCACAGAGCCTTGTCAAATATAGGACTTATAAGTATTTTCTTCCATTCTGAGTTGTCTTTTCATTTTATTGATACTTCAAAGCGTGAAATTTTTTAATTTTGATGAAATTAAATGTACTTTTTTCTTTCATCATTTGTGCTTCTGATGTCAAATCTCTAAGAAATCCATGCCTAAACTCATGAAGATTCATCCCTATGTTTTCTGCTAAGAGTCTTGTGTCTTTAGCTTTGGGTTAATTGTATATGTCATGCTACAGGTGTCCAGCTTCATTCGTTTGCATGTGAATACTCTGTCGTCCCAACACCGTTTGGTGAAGAGATTGTGTTTCCTGATCAATTGTTAAAAGTCACTTAGCCATAAATGTTTGGGTTTATTTCTGAACTCTCAGTTCTGTGCCATTAATCTATGTGTCAGTCCTGATGAGAGAAGTATGTAATAAGTTTTGAAATCAGGAAGTGTGAGTCCTCCTACTTTGTCCTTCTTCAAGATCACTTTGGCTTTCAGGGTCCCTTGCAGTTCTTTATAAATTTTAAAGTCAGCCTCTCCATTTCTGTAAAAAGGGACAGTGAGAATTTAACAAGATGGCATGGAATCTGTAGACCATTCAGAGGTTCATACTGGCCAAATACATCAAATATGTTTGAATTCATGAATATATCAATATTCTAAACTATATGAATATATAAAAATTATTAAAATTACATATACTAAAAATAAATAAAAACCAAAATAGCTTCAAAAAATTAACTACCTAGGAGTCAACCATTGCCAAGGATGTGAAAGACCTCTGCAATGAAAATTCCAGAATATTGAGGAAAGCAACTTTAAAAAGACACTAGAAGATGGGAACACCTCCTTCCTTCACAGACCAGAAAAACTCATATTGTGAAAATGGCTATATTACCAAAAGCGACCTTCAGGTTCAATGCAACACTTATCAAAATATCCACTACATGCCGCCTGCCTCGAAAGCGCAAGGACCCAAGCTCGATCCCTGATACCAAAAAAAACACAAACCTTCCAAAACAACTTCCTTTTTGCACCATTGGAAAGTGCTAGGGAACCAACTCATTGTTTTGAAAATTGTTAAATAAAGGGAAAGAATTTAGACATTTATTATATTTTTTCTTTTAAGAACTCTTGTTTGGGGTATCCAAAGAGTTGACAGAGCAATTTCAATTTCAATTTCAATTTCAACTCACAGAATTTTTCCATCCAATAAAGAGAGAAGATATTATGGAGTCAGAATACCACCATTAAGGAACACTATTACATCATCTGCTAATATCACAAAAAGAAACAGCTAGCCATTGTGTGCCTCAGGACAGACCTACAGACCACCACCTGGAAAGTACTTTTTCCTTAAAAAACAAACAAAACATGGACTGGGGAATTAGCTCAGTGGCGCCATGCCTGCCTTGCAAGCACAAGGTCTAAGTTTGATCCCCAGTACCAAAAAATAAATAAATAAAACAAAACAAAAGCTCAATCATATATCCTGCCAAACTTGAAGGATTAACTACCAATTTACAGGAAATACAAGGTACAGGAGAATATAGTAATTGCAACACAGGGATGCAGTCAGCAAAATCTAGAAACTCAATAGGACTGATGACCAGGTTTCTTTAGCAAAAACAAACAAACAAAAATTTCAAGGAAGGAAAAAATATAGAGAGAGTGTAAACCTTTAGTTTAAAAGAGATTTAAGATACATAGCAACCAGTGGTTATGTACAAACTTTATATGTATTTTTTCCTTTATGTTTTTTTAGACAGGATCTTGCTATGTTGCCCTTGGCTGGCCTTGAACTTGCAATCCTTCTGCCTCAGCTTCCTGAATAGCTGGATCTTATTTGGATTTTTATTTGAACAAATTATAAAATATATGTTTATACGCTATTTGGGAAAACTGAAAACTTGAACATTATTTGGATATATTAAGGTACTGATAATAATTTCTGACGTATATCTTTTAGAGAGGTACACAGAAATATTTATAATCAACATGATATAACTCCTAGGATTTGGTTCAAAATAATCTTGCAACAGGCAGTGGAAATGTGTATACATAAGATTGGCCATGTAACTGTTGAAGGTGGGTGACAGGTTCAGAAGAGCAATTATACCATCCTTCCTTCTTTTGTGACTCTTTGTGGAAATTTTTCTACTTTAAAAATAAAATATCAAGGGCCAGGGATTTAGCTCAGTGGTTTCACCGCCTGCCTTGCAAGCATAAGGACCCCAGTTTGATCCCTGGTACCAATAAATAAATAAATAAATAAATAAATAAATAAATAAATAAAATATCAAGGCCAAGCATGGTGGCACATGCCTGTAACCCCAGCATTCAGGAGGCTGAGGCAGGAGAATCACCATGAGTTTCAGGCCAATCTGGGTTATATAGTGAGCAACCTTGAACTGTCTCAAACAAACAAAACAAAACAAAAAGTCAGGCATTTGTGTGTGGTTCCAAGAACACAGTCTCTGACCCTGAAAAAGTTACAGCTTAAAACTGATCACACAAAATATGACTTAACAGATACTCTGGACAGCAATCAGATGGTAACAACAAAAAAGTTTATTGTGTTAAAGAAGTAGAGCTTCCTAGCTAAGAAGAGGGTGGGTGATAATACCTGGGAAGAGGTTTGTTTTTTTTTTTTTTCTAAGATCATAATTTTATTGTAATTGGTTTAGTTTTAAGATGGTAACATATTAAAAAATTATTATTGATATAGGCTTTTCAATTTGTCCAAAATTATGCATTGTAAGTGGAATGAAGCAGCATTTCCAGTTGACAAATGGATCTATGGATAATGATGTATTTCTTAAATAAAGCTTGTGACAATTAAACCAACAAATGGTGGCAATGAGAAAACTATTGACAAAGTACAACCAGGGAATCTTCGACTCAATATATGCAGGAATCTGTACTTTAAGTAAAAGAATGAATACCTGAAGCAGTACAAATGGTAACCAGGTACCAATGAAACTGGGAAGAGGTTTTGATCACAACATAAATGTATTGGGCAATGTCTTGTATGACAAGACCTTAGCACAAATAGACTGCATTTAACTAGTAAAATTAGGTAACATTGATTGTCAGCAAAATGAATGGTTCAGCATTCTGGTGACCTCAAAACTATAGGGAAGTTAAAAAAAAAAATTTAGGGCCAGGGATTTAGCTCAGTGGTTCTGCCTTCTGCCTTGCAAGCTCAAGGACCCAAGTTCGATCCCCAGTACCAAAAGAAAAAATTTAAAACTATAAGGAAGTGTTAGTAGAATTGGCAAGCGATTTATATGAAGAACAGTGAGTAAAATTACACCCTGAAGAATGTGAATGTGAAGAGAAGGGAATGCATTGAGCCTGTTACCTCTAAAACACCTTAGATGTGCTATCGGCCAGTACAATCACAGTGGCAAGAAACCGTTTTCCACAAATCCTTGTCCTGTTTCTTGCCATTGCTGCAAATAAGTTGTCTTGGCAGCTTTTGTAGCTTGGCTTGGTTTGCTGGTAGTTCTGGCAAGCTGCTGCCTGGGTTGCTCTACTTGTCCTTTATTACGTGCCTGAAATTCTGGCTACTCTGGTGGGTGAGCCTGGATGATCACAAGTTCTAGGCAGCTTGGGCAACTTAGTGAGATGCTGTCTCCAAATCATATAAAAAGGGGTAGGGGTAGGGGGATAGCTCAGTGGGAGAGTATTTGCCTAACATGCTCAAAGCCCTGGGTTCAACCCCAGCACTGCAAGAAAAACTAGCGAGATAGCATCGGGCTTGCTTAGTACGAAGAGGGTGGAGTGGGGCTCCCCCTCTCCAGGAATAATTCCATTCCAGGTTCATGTTTCCTGCATTACCAGATTTCACCATTGTTGGTGATGTTGTTTTACAATCCATCTCCCTGTTATTAGTGAGCTCCTTTCTGCTCATATTTCTGGGCAAGAGGATTGCCAGTTTCCATAACTACAGAGTCAATTCCAACCAGGTGAGAGGCCCATTCTTTCTCCTGACTGTAAGTCTGTGTGCTCTCTCTGAGCCTCCCACAGCACGAAGGCTGGCCTCTTCCACCAGGAGGGCACTGGACCGTGCATTGCCCTGTTACCACAAAAGGGTTTTCCAGCAGTGAGGGTACGTAACTTTGAAGCCACCTGAATTAACACAAGGGTTTTCCCCCTACAACAGATAGGGTCCAGAGAGGCAAGAATATGATATATAGCATCATGCTGAGGCAGCAGTTCCTCTGTTTTATCTTTCTGGAACATGCTTAGAAGTCAACCACATACTGAGGCATAATAAGAAATGCTGTGAAGATCATATAAAAAGCCAGGGTACTAATACATGTAATTAAGTTGGCCTCTTTGTCCTTTGGTCTTTGTTTTTGTTTTTTAGGGAAAATCTCCAACTACTCTGTTTGGTGCTTTCCTTAGAACTGAAGAAGGAAATATGAAGGCAGGAAGTCCTACTTTGACTTTTAGGGTAGCACAGAAATAAGGAAGAACAGTAGCATTGCGATTCTCCCTGTTGTGCTAAGTCCTGGTGCTCAGGAGAAAAAGTAAAAACACAAGGGTCTCATTTTACCATCTCGAGAAGGGTGCTCTTGTGACCACTAGGCAACATGAAGATGTGATTTAATCTAGATCCTCACATTCGCCATCCTTTAATTCTAAGTATATCTCAACCTGTTTGAAGTGATATAAACAGCACAGTTTTCATACACTAGAAATAAACAGTATATTTTTAGCTCAAAATAAAATTAACATTCTTCAACCAAAAGCAGCTGTCAGGTGTGTGCATTTCTTCACAGGATTTAATAGCCATCGGCCTTTGCAATGTCATCAGCTCCTGTTTCAGAGCTTCCGTGTTTACTGGTGCTGTGGCCAGGACTATAATCCAAGATAAATCTGGAGGAAGACAGCAGGTATGTCAAGAAAGAATTAGCTCTCTAATATACAGATGTATGTCAGTTCATGTGTGTGTTCACAGAGGGGTTACCTGGGTTTAATCTTTTTTGTGTGTTTTTTTTTTCCTTTGGTACCGGGGATCAAGCTCAGGTCCTTGCGCTTGCGCACCAGGCAGCAAAACCACTGAACTAAATCGCCGGTTTTTTTCCGTTTTTTTGAGGCAGGGTCTCCCTTTGTAGTTCAGGCTGGCCCTGAACTCACTATGTAGCCCAGGCTGCCCTCAAACTTGTGGTGATCCGCCTGCCTCAGCCTCCCAAGTGCTAGGACTACAGGCATGTGCCCCCAGGCCCGGCTGGGTTTAATCTTGTTTTAATGTTGTATATAATGGAAAGACCTCTTATACAGACTCCATGCTTGATTAAATTCTTGTTCAGGTTTTATCTTAAAAGTTACTGGCCAGTGTGAAACTTGAAATTCGTTTTCCATAGAAGTTTTTTTTTTTTGATACCGGTGATCGAATTCAGGACCTTGTGCTTTCGAGGCAGGCACTGGAATCACTGAACTAAATCCCTGGTCCCCACAGAAGTATTTTTATGAGTGGTTTCCATATGTTCGCCCACAGAAACCCCTTTTGCAGCTAACATACCCGAAGAAAAACAATATTTCAGGTAAACTTAGCATCAGCTGTTATTTTTTTCCCCTTTAGGGGGATGCAGCCTCATACCCAGCCTGGGAAAGTAAAAATATAATTCTCCTCCCCCTGGCAGCAAACCAAGCTGGCTTCCTGGCTTCCTCCAAGGCCAGGCTGGGCAAAGGACTCTGCTGGGAGGGGTCAGGTGCTTGTCTAGGAGAATCTTGGGAATTTAAGACCATCTGTGTATAAGAGAAAATGGCCTAGGTCAGATTCTCTTCAGGTACTCTGAATTAATAACTCAATGTTTAAGAAACTAACTGTGGGTGGCAAGGGAGAAAGAATGGTGACAGAGAAGACTCTAAAGGCAAACTCTGACCAATGGCAGGCGCAAGGTTTTATGTTTAATTTTTGTTAGTATATGTTCACAGTACATAATAGGTACATGCAGCAGGGAGTCCAATGTTTACAAGTTTCGAACTGACTAAATAAGACAAGACCCATGACAGGGACCCTGTCTCAGCCGTGCAGTGGGACCAGATGTCAGAGTTATCAGAGTTGGAGCTGGGAAAAGCCAGGGAATGAGCCAGGTGCAGATGGAGAGAAAGGGTGGCAGACGTCGAAGCCAACCTGTGCCACAGAACCACAGGGAAAAGAGTCAGGAACTGATGGTTCAGAAGAACGGACATTCAGTTTTTGGGGGTTTTTTGGTCTTTTTTTGTACCGGGGATCGAACTCGGGTCCTTGCGCTTGTGTAGCAGGTGTTGAAACCACTGAGCTAAATCCCCGGCCCGGACACTCAGTTTTAACGCGGGAAGGTAAGTGTCACAGCCCAGGGCAAATGTAAAGTGCAGTAGAAGATGAAAGCTAATAAAAGGCAGATTATGAGCAGAGGTCTTGAGTAAGACGACATCCTGCCGTTGTATAGGGACCGAGTTTTGTTGTCACAGTGGCCTTTTCCTCTTCTGCCTGAAAGAGGGCTATGCTAAAAGGATGTGGCCGGGTGCAGTGGCCCACGCCTGTAAACCCAGCACTCTGGGAGGCTGAGGCAGGAGGATCACAAATTCAAGCTCAATGTGGCAACTTAGTCTCTCTTTTTTTTTTCCTGCTACCAGGGATCAAACTCAGGACCTTGCTCTTGCCAGCCGGTGCATCACCACTGGGCTACATCCCTGGCCCCTTGGCAACTTAGTCTCTTGGCAAGACCTAGTTTCAAAATAAAAAAAGAAGCTGAAGATGTAGCTTAGTGCAAAGGCCCTGGGTTCAATTCCCAGTACCAGAGGAAAAAAGAGAGATAGAGAGAAAGAAAAATGTTCTATGCAAACTCACAGAAACTCTAAATGAAAATGAGAGCGTTTTATGATGCATAGAAATGGCAATCCCAAAGAGTGGTTCTGCTAACTTTGTATGCCATAGTTTGCTGATTTGATATGCAGCATAGGGCCGGGGATTTAGCTCAGTGGTTTTGCTGCCTGCTGCACAAGCGCAAGGACCCGAGTTTGATCTCCGGTACAAAAATAAAAAAGAATATCTTAGTCTTTGTTTGGGCCAGGGATTTAGCTCAGTGGCACAGCGCCTGCCTTGCAAGCACAGTGTCCTAAGTTCGATCCCTGGTACCGCAAAAAAAAAAAAAAGAATATGATATGCAGCATAAATGGGGGAGACAAGATGCACACAGTTGACAATGACTGAATCATAGTGCGAGGAAAATTGAGTGTAGAATGAACAAAAAGTTCCATAAACGGTGTGAGAAGAAGGGCGGAGCGAGTGGGCATGTCAGGGAGTCCAGCAGGGGTAGAATGCATGTGGCCTGAAGGGAGAAGAGGCCTGTGGTCTGCCTCAGGGCTGTGCTACAGGCAGGATCCTGCCCTGTGCGGGGACACTGGCTGGGAACGCAGCCCAGGCTTTGGCAGGGCCCTGCAGACGGGGCAGGAGTTCCAACCTCGGAGCTGGCCTGTTACTCCACTTCCATGTGGCACATTCCCTTCCAGTGACACCTTTCACCGCACTGCAGTGGCCCTGCCTGGCGAGTCAGGCACCAGGGATGCTGGAAAGCTCTTCCCTGACATCCTGCAATGCCCAGCGCAGATGGCTGGCTCAGACAGACAAGAATGCTTCCGACTCAATGCCCCACATCCAGGCTGCCAGGCTGCTGGGGACCAGGAAAGGCCGCTCAGCCTTCTCTAACCCAGGCGGGTGTGTGTGTGTGTGTGTGTGTGATCTCCCCATTTCTCTCTCTCTCTGTCTGCTTCTCTCTCTCTCTCTCTCTCTCTCTCTCTCTCTCTCTCTCTCTCGGCTTTTGATTCACTCTGGACAAGAGCATCCTCACTTTTCCAAATTTCCCAGAACTCTGGGAGAGAGAGTTCCCTGACACTAAAAGTCACTCGTACTTTTGATCTGGCCTAAATGGGAACTGTGTGTATGTGCCTGGATTTCACTCAGTCATTTCCTAGTCTAGAGCCCATTTCCCCCAACTGGTTGCAGTAGTAAGCGAAACCTAGTGGCCCTTCTGGCCACAGGCTCAGCCTGAGGTGGGGCAGATCGTGCCCTTGGCAGAGGGGATGTGACAAGCCCTAGGCCTGCGGCTGGCTGGACTGTCCCTGGGTTCTTCCTGCTCATCCAGTTCTGACCGCTGCACTCCACAGCTGGGCCCCTGTCCTTGTTCCTTGCTCTCCAAGGATTCACCTTCTTGCCTTCTCCCCAGGCTCCCAGAATGCTTTAAAACGAGTTGCAACAAGAGAGAAATGTGCTTGTTCTTTTTTTTGGTACCGGGGATTGAACTTGGGACCTTGCGCTTTCGAGGCAGGCAGCAGAACCACTGAGCTAAATCCCTGGCCCGTGTGTTCTTTTTACAGCAAGAAATGGAGCAGTGGAGAAAGCCTAGTTTCTAGAGTCTAATGGTCAGGGAGGCTGAAGCCAGATACTGCACTTCCTGGGTGTAGGTGACCAAGGGCAAATTTCTTTTGCTCACTGAGGCTCTAGTCCTGAGGACTGGTTGGAGGGCTCATGAGCTCAGTTACCTCTTTCAGGTCCACAGTGTATGACAGATTCTGAGTTCTTGCTTGGATATGCCATTCTTTTGATATGTGGTTACAGCGTTACCCTTATTACAGTGGGAAATGACACTGCTTTATAATATTTTTTATCACTAGGGGCTTAAAAAGTAGAAGTTGACCTACTAATAGAGGATAAAATAATTCAAGACTATTTCCAGAGAGCCTTGGGACCTATTTCTTAGCCTTGTTAAATGAGAATCACTGCTTGCAAAATGACATGGAGCCCAGAGTAGCAAGCCCAGCTGGGACAGGCTCAGAACTGCAGTGTACAGCCTTAGCTTGTGTTGGTGGGTTTTTAAAAATTGTTTTTCTTTCATTTTGTGTGTGCGTTTGTTGTAGTGCTGGGCCTTCTGCATGCTAAGCAAACTTTCTAACACTGAGCCTCAGCCTCAGCCCAGGTAGCTTTTCTGTCTTTCTCTTTTTTGGTACCGGAGATCGAACTTGGGACCTTGCAGTTTTGAGGCAGGCCGCAGAACCACTGTGCTAAATCCCCGGCCCAGGTAGCTTTTCTTGACTGCACCTAAGCAGAGAAAAATGAAAGCAAGATCATTTGGGAAGTGATTGTCATTGAGGTTTTTAAGATGAAGAAACACTGCACTGTGACATGGGAAATTATCCAAGCTCCAAATGGGACAGTGAGGGGTGAGATACTTATTTACATGGGAAATAAAATGGGGAGAATTTTAGAGGTGTCGGTGAGGACCCCACTAGGAATTTTGTAAATTGTGTGAGGAGAGGTGAAAGTTTTGAAGGAACGTGAGCCATATTTTAGGAGACTTCAGATTCATAGCACAGAGCTGTGCCAATAAGGATTCAGATACCCAGGAAAATCTGGAACTTTTCAGAATGCATTCATGCATTCATTCAACAGATATTTCCTGAGGCCCTATATGTGTTTAGCACACTGATAAGACCTGAAAATGTCAGCTCAACAAAAATGCAGGTAGGCTGAACCCAACTCCTTTTAAGAAAAGACGGCCTGCTTCTCACCAGGCCTCAGGCCTCAGGTGCAGATGGGGCCATGTTTGTTCCTGATGGTTTCTCTCCAACTGGCTCTGTCTCCTCAGTTTGCATCTCTGATAGGCACAGGTGTGATGCTGCTCCTGATGGTGAAGGTGGGAAGCTTCTTCTATGAACTGCCTAATGTAAGTAGAACTGTTCATGTCACTAGGTCAAGGACGGAAGCTGGGTGTGCTCAGGCACGCCTGCAACCTCAGCATTCTGGGAGGCTGAGGCAGGAGGATTGCAAGTTTGACCCCAGCTTGGGCAACTTCACAAAACCCTGTCTCAACGCACAAAAATTTTAAAAGGGCCAAGGATGTAGCTCAGTGTGAGAGTGTGAAGGCCCTGGGTTCAATCCCCAGTACCCTACACACACACACACACACACACACGAACCAAATCTCTGGGGTGCATCTTGGTGGCACATCTCTGAGGAAAATTACATTCTATGTGTCCCCAGTGGTTACTCTAACATACAGCTTGTCCTTTTCCTCTAAAACAATAACATCTACATCACAGGTTAAGAGTTAATATATATAATGTCTATTTATATATAAGATATATATATATATATATATATATATTAAACAAGGTACTGTCAGACAAATAGTAAGCACTCAAGAAACATTATTCTTAAGCCGAGGGCATGGTGGTGCACACCTGTAATGCCAGCCCTTGAGAGGCTGAGGCAGAAGGATCACCATGAGTTCACGCAAGGCCAGCCTGAACTACATAGCAAGATCCTGTCTCAAAAACAGAAAGGAAGGAAGGAAGAAAGAAAAAAGAAATTTTTTTAAAAATTTATTTTTGTTTTTCAGTGCTGGAGCTAGAACCCAGGGCCTTGCGCATGCTAGGCAAGCACCCTACCATTGTGCTGGTAGAGCCCAAGGAACAGTATCTTATTATCATTCATTGATCTTTTTACTGCCTAAGCTATAAGTGAGCTTTATAAGTAAGAATTCCACGAAAGAGGACTAAGTAGGCTTCAGGCGCCAGACCTTGCCGTCACCCCAGGTTGGACACACACTGACACATTCGTGCTGCTCGAGGGACGCCCTGTTCCGGCTCCCATGTTCAAAGTCACCTGCTTCTTGGTTTTCCCCGGCACTAGACAGCAGGTCTGAAAATGGAGTTTTAACTCCACGTCCACCAGGGTGGCTCTCGGTGCGAGGGTGCCATTTCTTCCCTGTGAGTGAGACTTAGAGAGGTCCTGTGTGTTAATTACTGGGTACGATCACTATGTTCTCAGTTATTATCTAGATGGGTTCGTGCTCCGTTACCATTGCTTCTTTTAAATTTTCTTCATGTTCCTGGGAGCTATTACTATAATACACTTAGGGAGGTGGGAGAAGGCCTCTTTCCTGCTGTGACAGTGTGGTCACGCTAGGAAACAGCTTCCCCCGGAGCTGGAGGAGTTGTAAACACGGTCCCCATCCTTCTCCCCACCTCCTCCAGGAAAGCCCAGGTTTCACTGCAGCAGGACCGAATTAGCTCTCCTCTTGTGATTCAGGGATCTTGGAGCCCAACCATGGAACCGATGGCAACATGGTGGGATCAATACGCGCATGTGCAACGCACAAGCTGCTCTCTGATTCTTAGCAGAGCTCATTTCCAGAACTCAGCCTACACCGCACGTGGTAACCTCCGGAGTCTATTTTCAGAGAGTCACTCACTTTGTTGTTGTTGTCATTTTTTCGAACTGGGCCTTGAACTCAGGACCTTGCACTTTCAAGGCAGGCGGTGGAACCACTGAGCTAAATCCCCAGCCAGACAGGTTCATTTTTAATACCTTGGAAAATTCACAATGGATAAAAAATGTCCCCCATAATTACAAATAAACCACTACTAACATTTTGCATTTATCTGACCAACACTGTTTTTTTCTATGAATGGTACCACTTTGGATATTTGTAACTTCACTGTCCATAAAATTTTGTTTAATACAGAGCATGATATGCCAAATTTTCTATATGAAAACATATCAGCATTTTTTGATATGCTGCCAAATGATTTTTCCAAAAGGGCAGTGCCCGTTTATACGCATAACCATGTATATGGGTCTTATCAATGGTTTCAGTTTGCTAATTTAATTTCTAAAAACATGATCTCCTTAATGAAGCAATTGTAGCATATCATAATTAAACTTGAACGAAAGCCCAACTGGAACTAATTTAGAGTTTCTGTGAATACAAGCGTTTATCATCCCATCTGATAATGATTTCCAGGCAATGAAAGTAACACAGATTTGTCACTCAAACTAGACAAGGCCACACAGATAAAGTGTCCAAAGTGGCAAGAGGGAACTAGGGAGGAGGAGACGAACACAACCTTTGCCTAGTCTTTCTCTCACCACTCTCAGAATTTGAAAGGGGCGGGCCGGGGATTTAGCTCAGTGGTTTTGCCACCTGCCTCCCAAGCGCAAGGACCCGAGTTCAATCCCTGGTACCAAAAAAAAAAAAAAAAAGAATTTGAAAGGGGCTGTCGTAGCTTCACTGGGTGGATCCCTCAGAACCTGGCCTTGGCCTGACCTTGCCTTGTGTGTTTGGCAAATTACGGAGGGGAGTACACAGAAGTGCGGAGAATATTTGATCAAACTGTGAGTGAGTTGGAGCATGTTGTCGTATTTGTATGAAATATCAACATAAAATATCTCTGAGCGGCAAGGCTGACTTTTGTGGTTCCTCAGTGAGAATTTGGGAGTTTTATTGCAAATGGAAAATGAGGAGAGTTTCCCTTTCCCCGCAGGCTGTGCTGGCTGCTATTATTCTGAGCAATGTCATTCCTTACCTTGAAGCCATTTACAACCTCCCCAGCCTGTGGAGGCAGAACCAGTATGACTGTGTGAGTGCTGCCAGGGCCCAGGAAGGGAAGGTGGGAGACAGAAAGACCACGAGGGAAAGAGACCAGTCACAGCCACAGCCGGGAAGAACACCAGCAACTCGGAGGCCTGGTCCTCTATTTTTCGTTACTATTTATTTATTTATTTTTGGTGCTGGGGATTGAACTCAGGGATCTTGCGCTTCCGAGGCAGGTCTCCGTCTATTTTTATTTTTTAAAGGAGAGTCAAAGTTGGTACATAGAGACATGGAGACTTCCTTCCAACTATGTGAAATGAAATGAAATTGAGTGGCAACAGCCCCTTGCAGATCCCAGTAGAAGGGGCTTGTCATCCACTGCACGTTAGAATGACTTTTAATTCAGTTAATGTAAATATCTTCCAGGATAATATACACAGATCCTTTCTTAAAACTTTTTTGCTGTTTTCTTTGAATCAGGGTCTTCTTGCTTTGTGGTTCAGGCTGGCCTCGAACTCACTAGGTAGCCCAGTCTGGCCTTGAGCTTGCAGATTCTCCTGCCTCAGCCTCCTGAGTGCTGGGATCCCAGGCGTGCACCACCACACCTGGCAAGAGACACAAATTTTAATAAGGGAAGGAGGAGGGGCCGAGACTTAGCTCAGTGGTGCCACCACCTGCCTCACAAGTGCAAGGTTCCAAGTTCTATCGCCGGTAGCAAAAAAAAAAAAAAGGGAAGGAGGGGGATCTTGCCAGGCAGAATGGCAGCTAGAGCACTGTCCTTCTCTCTAGAACAAAAGTCAAAGGAAAGAAAGGGAAAATAACCAGAAATAAAATATGAGGGATGGACTGTTAGGCGAGAAGGGGCCAGCAGAGACAGGGAAATAGGAAAGGGGTGCCTTGTGCCACCAGTCTCTGAAGGGGTAGGAGGAGGTGCAGTCCAGTGCACATTCAGAGCTCCTGGCTCAAGACCCACTGGCCTGGAGACAGCCAGCAAAGCTGGGGGCAGAGACCAGCAAGTGGCAGGGGCTGAGGAAGGAAATATCTAAGGGAGCTTCTACCTGTTTCTCCTGGGAAGAGGAAGGCTAAAGCCACCACCGAGACTAACACAGAAGGTGGTTGGGTAGGGGCCTTGAAACAGCCATTAAAGATTTGCAGAAACTATTATAGTTCTTAAAACAACTACTACCATCTGGCGAGGGTGCATATGAGGAACCTGCAGATCAGAGAGAGGACTGGCGAGTGATGACCAGGGACACTGAAAGAATTGCCAGGTAGCCTCATGTGTGATGGCACCAGGCCATCTGGCTGTGGGATTTGTCTCTAAATCCAGGTGCAGAGGATGAGGGTGGGGGGAAGGGGGAGGTGCCACCATTAGGTTCTCCATCCTGTGAGTTTTTGTGGCCATCATTTTCCCACTGACACTTTTCCACAAGGTTACCTGGATGGTGACATTCACATCCACGATCTTCCTGGGACTGGACATTGGACTGCTCATCTCGCTGCTTTTCTCTTTCTTCATCATCACTGTCCATTCGCACAGGTACTCTGCCTCAGGTAGGAGGTTGGCCACGGCAAGGTGAGGCCCCCACCACCTAACAGCAAGTGCACTTCCTTCCAGAACAGAGATTACCCGCCTGGGCCAGATCCCCAACACCAACATTTACAAGAGCATCACTGACTACTGGGAGGTAAGAGGCCCCCTCGGCCCCACTGCCTGGGCAAGGGACCAGGTACAGTGAGCCTGGCGCTTCATTTTCCCACAAACACCTCTGCAGTTGTCAGCTGTCCATTCCCAGAGGAGGAGGCAGGGAGCCACAGGGGAGAGGTGGGGTCTTAGGGAGCTAAATCCTTACAACACTGTGGCAAGAGGTGAGTTTTAAGTGGACTTTAAAGACTGGCAAGCCAAGATAAAGAGAAGAGAAATGGAAGGGAAACAGAAAAGAAAAATGGAGGGCAAAATGGAAGGAAAGAATCTCCTGGTTCTTGCCTCTAACAGGGAGAGATGCAAATTTATTATTTTTACTTCATTCAAGAACTGAGAGTCAAGTGCAGTGTTGGACATCTATAATCCCAGCACTCTGGGATGCTGAGACGGCAGGATTGCAAATACAAGCCCAGTTAGAGCAACTTAGCAAGACCCAATCTCAAAGTAAAAAATGGGCTGGGGATGTATCTCAGTGCAAAGACGTTGGGTTCAATCCTCGATACTTTAAAAAAAAAGAATGGAGGACTTTACATTCTGTCTTGCAGTTCACAAATATTCCTGGGGTGAAAATCTTCCAGTGCTGCAACGCCATCACCTTCATAAACGTGTACTACCTGAAACACAGGCTGCTGAGAGAGGTAGGCCCGCTCCTCCGTTTGTCCACTGCTCCCTTCCGCACGCTCAGCCTTCCTTTCCGCACAGGCCCCTCCTGTCTTTCAGCTCGGCATGGTGAGGGTGCCTCTGGAGGAGGAAGAGATGTTCAGCCTGTTTAATCAAAGCGACACCAGCCTGGGGGAAGAGAAGATCTGCAAGTGCTCCTGTGACTGTGAGGACCTGGAGCCGCCACCCAGGGTTAGAGAGCTTCAGGCTTTGTCTGTTTTTCCGGTACTGGGGATTGAACCCCGGCCCTCTGCACTGAGCTATCTCCTCAGCCCTTTTTAGTGTTGAGACAGGATCTTGCTAAGTTGCCCAGGCTGGGCTCAAACTTGCGATCCTCCCATCCCAGTCTCCCAGAGTGCTGGGATTACAGCTGTGTACCACCATGCCTGGCTAATGGCTTTTTTTAAAATTGGAAATGAAAGATTTCCAACCAGTTTCCCTTTGAGGTTCAGGTTTTGATAAGAACGCAGGCAGAAGAAGGTATACTGACTACTGTGAGTGATGAGAACAGTTTGCCTTGTTGAACCTAGTTCTCTGGCTTTTAGCTTCCTGGCTTTAGCTTTCTGAAAATAAGTGACTTAAAGATTGTTTTCTGATTCCAACTTGGGAGGGTCAGAGTGGCTGGCTTCTGCTAGTGTCTTCTGTGAATTCTTTTCTTTCTTTCTTTTTTTTTTGGTACCGGGGATCAAACTCGGGTCCTTGCACTCATGAGGCAGGCGGCAGAACCACTGAGCTAGATCCCCGGCCTTGCCAGTGTCTTCTGATGTCTGCCTGTAATCCAGGACATGATGGTGGAGGAGAAGAGGGGGAGTCAGAGGAGATCACCACAGGCTGCATCTCAAGGTTACTGTGGCTGATGAGATCACAAAGTATTGTTATTTCCAAACTGAACTGGGTCTAAAGAGCCCTTCCCTCCAGACACAACTGCTCATTTCTAGCTGTAGGGCCTTGCCGTGATAGACCAGTGTATATCCTACACCCCGGGAGCAGCATCATCTACACCCATCCACAGACATGTGCAGGCACACGCACAGGCGCACACCCCTCCTGTCCCCTGCCATGCAGGGCCCTGAAGAACTCTTGTTCCCATACTCTCACCAAGCAGAGCCTCTGCTGAGCTCCCTGGAGGCTCTGACTTCCCTGCCAAGATGACCGAATCCACACTTGCTGGTCTTCAGTTTGCAGCCACCCTGTGCTGACCACTGTGGAGAGCGTTTGTTTAAAGGACATCATGGAATACACTGAGAGTAAGGAGAGTAAGATCGTCCAGTATTTGTGGAGCTCCTACTGTGTGCTCCTACTGTGGTCTGTAGCATTATGAAAGGATAAAGGATGTCTTATAGCTTTATCTTATTTTTATCTTTTTTTTTTTTGGTAGCTGGGATCGAACTCAGGACCTTGCACTTGCAAGGCAGGCGACAGAACCACTGAGCTAAATCCCTGGCTGTTTATCTTATTTTTAATTGACAGATGACAATCACATATATGTATAGGAATAATGCAGCATTTCAAAACGTGTATGCATTGTAGAATGATCAAATCGGGTTAATTAACATTTCCGTGGTCTCAAATACCTACCTTTGTGGTAAGAACATTAAAAAAACCTCTCTTTTAGCCATTTTGAATTATGCAATACCTTGTAGTCACCCTGCTCTGCAGCAGAACACTAGAATGTTTTCTTCCCATCTGACTGCATCTTCTTCCCTTCCCTACCCACCCTCCGCCCCGCCCCAGCCTCTGGTCAGCGCTGCTCTCTAATTCTATGAGTTCTGCTCTTAGAGTCTGTGTATAACTGAGGTCATATGGTATTTGTCTCTCTGTGCCTGGCAAAGTTAACATAATTCCTCTAGGTGCCTTCATATTGCCGCGGATGTCAGAAATTCCTGCTTCTAAAGGTTGAATAGAATTCCGTTGTGTATTTAGACCACATTGTTTAATCCCCTCATCTGTTGCGGGATGCTTAGGTTGTTTCTGTGTCTTGGCTACTGTGAATAACCATCGTCCCACAATGAACGTGAGAGCACACATGCATCTTCAGCACAGACTTTAATTTCTTTGTATATGTACCCAGGAGTGGGATTTCTGGATCATACGGTAATTCTGGTTTTGTTTTTCTTGTGCTTTTTTTTTTTTTTTTGGTACTGGGGATCGAACTCAGGACTTTGCGCTTGAGAGGCAGGTGCTGGAATCACTAAGCTAAATCCCCAGCCCTGGTTTTGTTTTTCTTGAGTAGCTGCCATAGTGTTTTCCAAAATAGCTATACTAATTTACAGTACCAACAACAGTCTAGAAGGGTTCTTTTTCCCCTATACTTGTTATCTTTCATCTTTTTTTTTTGTACTGGGGATCGAACTCAGGACCTTGCACTTTCGAGGCAGGCCACTGAGCTAAACCCCAGCCCATCTTTCATCTTTTTGATAACAGCCAATCTAAAGGTATGAGATATCTCATTGTGGTCTTAACAGGTGTTTCTCTGATGATTAGAGATGCTTAGCATTTTTTCCAGATGTCTTCTGCCTATTTATATATCTTCTCTCCAGAAATGTCTATTCAAGTCCTTTGCCTATTTTTAAAGATTATTTTCTTGTTAGTAAGTCTTTTGAGTTCCTTGTATATTTTTGATATTAGCGCCATATCTGATGCATGATTTGGGGATATTTTCTCCCATTCTGTGGGTTGCCTTTCTATCCATTTCCTTCCCTTTACTATTTCCTTTGCTGTGCTTTTTACTTTGATGCAATCCCATTTACCTATTTTTTTTTCCTTTGTTGTTTGTGTTTTGTGGGTCACAAAAAGAGAAAAAGAAGTTTTAAGAGTCTGTTTTCAGGAAATTCCTTTTTTTCATTGTGGATATATATATATAATAAAATATACCACTCTAACCATTTTTAAGTTCACTGGTGTTAAGTATATGTATACACATTATTCTACGATCACCACCACAATTCACCTCCAGAACATTTTCATCTTACAGAACTGGAACACTGCATCTATTAAACAAAGACTCCTCATTTTCCCCTCCTCCCAGCCCCTGGAATCTACCACTCTACTTCCCGTTTCTATGAATTTGACTGTTCCAGCTACCTCATATAAGTGAAATCAGGTAGTACTTGTCTTCTTGTGACTGGCTGATTTTACTTATAGTCATGTCCTCAAAGTTCATCCAGGTAGTTCATTAAGAATGGTTTTTCATGGAAAATCTCGAACATGCACAAAAGCAGAGACGAGCTTAACAGGCACCAGTGTCCCATCATCAGCCTTTAAGATTTATCATTTCTGATATTTGTTCTTTGGGGTTTTTTTTTCTTTTGAGACAGGGTCTCACTATGTATTTCAGGCTGGCCTCAAACTTGTGGCAATCCTTCTGCCTCAGCCTCTTGAGTGCTGGGATGACAGGCATGCACCACCATGCCTAGCCATTCCTGATATTTGGATGCTTTATACAACCCCCCAAAATAAGACCTAACTAGAACATAGGCCCTAGCATGATTTTTCAGGATGCTCATAATACAAGCCCTACCTTGTAGAAGCAAGTCTATGAGCTCGAACCTGACTGGGGCGGGGTGTGTGTGTGTGTGTGTGTGTGTGTGTGTGTGTGTGTGACAAGGATGAAAAGCAAAGAGACACAAAATCAGGTTAAAATGTGGAGGGTCAGGGGGCTCTCATCTCCCCTCAACAGAGAGCCCTGAGTGACTGGTGCGCCTAGGCTTCATTCAGACCCAGGTATGAGCAATTAGAGTTCCACAGGATCCATCTGTCTCCCACTCTCCATGGTACTTGTCTGGGCAAACAACATGATCTCAGCTGCTTTTACTTTTCCTTGCAACGTGCTTGCGTGTCGCCTTTCTTCTTAGTGCTTACTGAGGAGGCCAGTTAGGCCTCAGTCTTCCTGATCTCCCACATTACCCCAAAAATAAGCCTCAGTTTAAGATCGTCAACCAGAGAGATGCACGTAGTATGCCCATTGCAACACACGACTGATGCATTGAATTATAAAATAATAATGCTAACATATAATTAAGTATAAATAAAATTATTGACATTAATACTTCAATAAGGGCCGGGGATTTAGCTCAGTGGTTCTGCCGCCTGCCTCGCAAGCACAAGGGCCTGAGTTCGATCCCTGGTACCAAAAAAAAAAAAAGGACTACTTCAATAATATAAATTATAATTAAGTATTTGTAAACTCCTATCAGGTGCCTTTGGACAAAAGGTTGAACTCAGATGAAGTCAAGACTTACTGCTGAATGACCAATTGGAACACAGACACGTTGCATGAATAACATGCACACTTAATAATGACCAGACGTGGGCCGGGGATTTAGCTCAGTGGTTCCGCTGTCTGCCTCGCAAGCGCAAGGACCCAAGTTCGATCCCTGGTACCCAAAAAAAAAAAGGGCCAGGGATTTAGCTCAGTGGTTCCAGCGCCTGCCTCACAAGCACAAGGTCCCGAGTTTGATCCCTGGTACCCCCCCCAAAAAAAAGAAAAGAAAAAATGAACAGACCTAGTGGTGTCTAATAAAAATCTCACTTAATTGCTTCTTGGCCTTTTGGCTAAGATCAAGTGTAAAAATCTCACTTAGAATTACAGTGCTCAAGCAAATGAATTCTCTTCACATTTCCATGTATGTTGAGTTCTTGTCCACACATGTCATTCCCTATCCTTTTTTTTTTTTTTTTTTTGGTACCGGGGTCAAACTTGGGACCTTGTGCTTGTGAAGCAGGTGCTGGAACCACTGAGCTAAATCCCTGGCCATTCCCTGTCCTTTGAATGGATATGTGGCCTCCTCCCGGGAGTCTGACCTCTGTGAACACACGCCCATGGCTGTATCTTCCACGTTCTTGTATCCCTGCTCCTTGGTACTGTCCTTAAGTTTTAACAGGCTCTCAGGGCCTTTTAGGGGATTGAAAGGCGTGAGAGACAAAGTCGGCCCTGCTTCAGTGATGTTTGTCTTAAGGAACGCTGGCAGAAAATTAAGGAAAGGGACCTAATAGAAAGAGGTGCTTCCCATAAAGTATTAGTTGGCATTGGAGACTCATAAGGAAAAGGAATTAATCAAAGGCCATTTCAAGCCCAGCTCACTAGGACAATAATGACATCATTGATGGACACAGGCACTTGAGAAGGGGATGCTGTGGGTAGTGAGGATGAGGAAAGATGAATGTGGCCTTAGTCATGACCTTCAAGTGACAGTGAAGTATCCAAGTAAAAGAGAAATGTACATTCGAACCTGGTCTGGGGCAAAGTTTCAGGAGAGGGAAGTGAATCCAGAGATAGATCCAGTGTAGCTGCAAGCGCTTCCGGGTTGTGGTTGAGTCTCCCCACCCTGTCTGCCTCTGTTGTTCCCAGATCTCCTACACAGAAAGATATGAATACAAAGGGATTTTGACTCATCCTCCAATAACCTGATTCATTGCACACCTCTGGAGCCCACGACCCTAAGCCAAAGCACATCCGAAGGGCGTGATGAGGAGATGCCACATGCAGGGCCTTCCACATCTCAGAGACATCACGGGGAGACCTATGAGAATGTGGACAAAGGCTGGCCTTCCAGCAACACCTTACAGAAGGCCTTGGCCTCGCTGCGGGACACTGGTGCAGATCCAGACCCAGCAAAGACAAGACTGGATGCCCCTCACTCCGATGTGGCTCTGCGACCCAGCACCCACACCATCATCCTGGATTTCTCCTTGGTGCACTACGTGGATTCTCAGGCCTTGGTCGTATTAAGACAGGTAAGTACTGGGGAGGCTTTGCCACAATCTCTGACCCCTGCCCATCACCCACACACACATACAGGCTGTCCCGAAGTAACCCCGCCTCTCATGGATTAGCTGCTGTGTGATTGCAAGGTTACCAGAAACTTGGACACGAGGTGGTTTAAGGTCCATCAGAATGAAATGAAAATGAACCAACTCTGGCTTGTTGAACTGCAGTTGGGTGAACAAGCACGAACCATTTTATTATTTCTCACAGGAATGAAACAAGCAGGAAACTCAACACTACTGAAGCAGTGATCGGTGCTACATCCACTGTATGATCCCTAGTGCGCCCTTCTAGACTTGCTGCACATCTTTTCAGTGCATAGGCTCCGCCACTGCAGAGACAAGCTCGCCGAGACTCCTCCATGGTTTGGCCACTCTGAGCCAGGCACTGTAGAAAGCACTGGGCTGGACTGTTCTCAGATTTGAAGAAGTCGGGACAAATGACACCTCACACCTGGGCTTCCCATCCAGAACTCGCAGGGTCTTCCACACTTTCCCCTTCACTTCCTGCATCGTTAGGTGGAAAAGGACAGGGAAAATGATTTTCATTCAAAACTTCTGTCCCCAGGTCCTGATTTCTACTCTCGAATCCTTTGACAGCTCTCATTTCCCACTCAGGACATTGTAGATGCACAATTAACCAGGATGGTGTCATTGCACATTTTTGCCCAGCCAGCTTATCTCTGTGTAGAGCACTCTGTCTGACTTTTGCCCATTCACTTCCCAGCTTCTGAACACACGCACTCTTTTTTTTTTTTGGTACCGGGGGTCGAACTCGGTTCCTTCTGCTTGCGAGGCAGGGGGTGGAACCACTGAGCTAAATCTCCAGCCCCACATGTACCCTTTTTTGAGGTATGCTCCTTTGGTTTGCCTTCTTCTATCTTTGGATCTTGCTTTCTCATGCCTTCCTATTCCTAAAGGACTGTGATCATCAATTAAGTGACTCAGGCTCCTCTTTGGTCTGAGCCATATGAAGCTTTCCATAGCAGGAGGAGCTCTGGCTGCTGGCCCAGAGATCTGTTCGCTGCCCTGGCTTCCCAGCTCCCTCTCCATCTCTCCTGAGGTGACTAACAAATGGTGCAGGGTCTCTGTCTCCTCATGTGTAAGAGGAGAGCGTTGGAAGAGTTTAGTACCAAGAACCTTCCCATCTATTACATTCCCCGCCCAGCTACCAGACACCACTTTCAGACCCAGGCATATTGGATCGTCTCTTGTTTTAGGAGCTTTTCCATCTTGGGTCATTCCACTGTGTTGTCTCCTCTCAGTCTTGTGTGGTAGTTTCTATTTGAGATTTCATTCCCTCACATGACTGAATGCCCACGTACACGGATATACATTGTCTCTTTTAATTCTCACAACAGATCATATTTTCCTCTGTGAGTCTGAAGCGCACGACTAATAAGGGGCCTGTTCGGTACTTGAACTCCAGTATCTGACTTCATTTCACTCTTTCACCCTTGTTCCATGGTATGGTTCCACCATCCTCTCCTCTCGTCTGCCTTCCGTTCCATGTATTTTGATCCTTGGCATCACCTGGTCTCTGGGGATGATTTTCTGTTCCATCCTCATGGAGCCAGTGTTGCTATCTTTACCCTTCCAGCTGCAGGACATTTGTGGTACACTTTTACACCCTGAAAACAGTTTTCCTCATTCCCTTTGGAAGTGTTCTGTACATGTCCTTATTAGAGGAATTCATTATATTTTATTTGCCATATAATCAAAAACTTAAACCTACTAGAAAGTCCCATTAAGGGCCGGGGATTTAGCTCAGTGGTTCCACTGCCAGCCCTGAGTTCGATCCCCAGTACCAAAAAAAAAGAAAAAGGAAAGTCCCATTAGTCCATTCATATTGGAGACAGCCACTCAGTTTAAGCTTCTTCTTAACTCATGGAATTTCCCTTTCCCGTTGCTTAAGATGTAGTATATCTGCTGTGGCCTTTCACTAGGTGATTTTATGGCTTACCACATGACCAAGAATGGCTGTCTTGTTTCCCCCAGTATTGACAGGAACAGAGTCTGTTTTATTTTTTCCTTTTGACATTGTAACTCTGTGCTTGGGGTTGAAGTCTACTCCATCCTAGTATTAATTGCTTCTAAGTGGGTGTCAAGATTTATTTCCCAGAGCGTATGTACTGGCTGAAGCGAACGTGAGGCCAGTGTCTGAGGTGTACTTAGCTGGCACTAAGTATCTGATGTTGTGCCAATGCGCAGAGCTGCTCTGGAGGGGACTCTCAGGGTTTCTGAATTCCCCTGCCTTCTGCGTTGCCAGGTCATCTCTAGCCCGTATCTTGCCTCCTCTTCGTGGTGAGCTCCAGGGGACAAAGCATCACACACACACACTGAATGATAACACCGAGATGTGGGTGCCATGCCAATGCTCCCAGGCACCCCCACTGCCCCTGCTCCTCCTGCCATCCTCGGCCTCCCTTGTGCCAGTGTGCTCTCTCTCTCTCTCTCTCTCTCTCCACGATGATTTTCCTTCTGGCCTGCAAGAGATGTTCTCGTTCTTTCTGCACATTCCCAGCACTGTGGATGTTTCCAGTACACACAAGTCCCCTCACCAAATGTTTGGAGAGCAAAACTGGGAGGCAAAGGTACATAAACTCCAGACAAGTGGATGGCCAGTGAGGTTTTATTTTTATTATGACTTTTTCATGTGTGGTGCTGGGAATCAAACCCAGGTCCTCATGCATGCCAGACAAATGCTCCACACTGAGCTACACCCCCAGCCCCCCAGAGGGGGTTCAAACTCAGCTAATTAGAGAGCCCCTTCCTAGTGAGCGTGAAGCCCCCTGACCTTGATCTACTCTGTCCCTGCAGATGTGCAGTGCTTTCCAAAATGCCAACATTTTGGTGCTCATCACCGGGTGTCACTGTGAGTAGGCTTCACCCGGGAGAGGGCTATGTGCACCCCGGGGCCGGGTGTGTGTGCCTGACTGTGTGCTCTGGGCTTGCTTGGTTTGCAGCCTGTGTGGTCAGGGAATTTGAGAAGAATGATTTCTTTGACAATGGCATCACCAAGGCCCACCTGTTCCTCACCCTGCACGATGCCGTGCTGTTCACCTTGTCCAGGAATGCTGTGGATAGCTCTGAGCTGAGCATCGATGAATGTGAGACAGTGATCCAGGAAACCTCCTCCAACTCAGACAAGGTTGGGTGATGTGAAGCTGGAGGCTTGGTGGTTGGGAGGATGGAGTGGGAGGCGTTGCACGATCAGATAGAGGTGAGCAAGGTCCAGGAAAGGCTTTTTAAGTGTGGCTGTGCCCGAATTTGAGGTATTGAAAATGTTCTCTTACCAGCCAGTAACTAGCAGTGAATTGAGCCTAAGTGGCCTCATGGCCAGGGCTGCTGGGTCCCATCAGGGACACTTCCCCAGCTGCAGAGAGGGTTTACCTAACCCAATGAAGGCCCCAACCATCCTTTTACAGCAATCTTGGTTGATACCACACTAACTGCTCCATTTTTTATTTTTATTTTTATTTATTTACTTTTTTTTTTTGAGACAGGCTATGTAGTTCAGTCTGGCATCGAATGTACTGCATAGCCCAGGCTGGCCTCAGACTCACAGCAATCCTCCTGCTTCAACCTCCTGAGTGCTGAGATTACAGGTGTGAGTCACCACATCCAGCCTAACTGCTAAATATTTTAGATATCGCTTTAGATATACCTTTAGAACCAACCCATTCTTTGGGATGAGTGTCTTAGTTAACTCTCTTGTTGCTGAGACAAAATACCTGACACCCAGAGTTCAAGGAGGAAAGGTTTATTGTAGCCCACAGTTTGTAGAAGTTTCAGTCCATAGTCGGCTGGCTCCATGGCAGCAGAGGGGCATTGCAAAGGAGAGACAGTTCTTGGCAGACAGAAGGCAAGAAAACAGCAAGAAACAGCAGTGACAGAAGCAGCAGCCTGCCTTCTTTGTGTGCTTTTATAATCCATCCAGGCCACCCACACCCAGGGTGGGGCACTCTTAGCTCAGCATCGCACTCAATCCCACTATCACATCCTAAATCCCAGCGTCACACACCTTAAGCCAGCCACCTTCAACTCCCCTTCTGTGACCCTATGAGGGGACATCTAGATATAAGCTGAAACAGATGAGTGATAAAAATGATGAGCTAGCACAGGTAAATATCTGCCAGTCTAATATATTGGCTACTTTACATCGCCAGTAATGTAAGATTTATTCAACCTGGCCAAGTGCAAAAGAGAAAGATATGGAAGTCAAAAGTTTTAGTCATTCAATACTAAGCAAAGATTTGGGTCTTCTTTAATGTTTTCAATGTTTCAAATGTTTAATGTTTAATATTTTCAAATATTTGTGTAGGTTAAAGGTTTCCCAAAATATGAAATTATAACATAGATGGCCATCAAATGTTTTTGGTGTTTTATTTTGTTTTGTTTGAGACAGGGTCTCTCTATGTAGTTCATGCTGACCTTGAACTCACTATGAAGCCCAGGCTAGCCTCGAATTTGAAGCAATCCTCCTGCTTCAGCCTCTCAAGTGCTGGGATCCTAGGTGTGCGAGACCACAGCCAGCTCTGACCATCAGATATTATCTAATGACTAGGAATTATTTTTCAGTCAAATCCCCAATCCTTTGATTTATTAGATTTCAGTAACATTTTTATTTTTATGACAAGGAAAATGTTATTATCATAGGTTCAAGGGAGTGGTTTGTTGTTTGTTTTAGGGGGTGCTGGGAATTGAACCCAGAGCCTTTGCACTGAGATGCATTTCCCAGCCTTCCCACTTTCTTTGTTGTTGGTGGTGCTATGTTTTGAAGGGGTCTTGCTAATTTGCAAAGTTGCCTAGGATGGGCTCGAACTCGTGACCCTCCTGCCTCAGCCTCCTAGAGTGTTGAACTTACAGAGCTGTGCCACCATGCCCAGTTTCGTAAAATTCCAGAAGTAAGAAGTATCCAAGCTTATAAAGCACAGCCTTTTCCCTTTCTTCTTTTTAAAGCAATGTATTACCAATGTATTGTTCCCTGTGCTTTGCTGAGGTTCTTTATAGTTTATATGCCTCTGTTTATCCAGATCAACTTCTTCCTGATGGCTAGATCTGAACATATCTTATCAGGTCTAGTCTGAAGTCCACTCCCTTTTATAAAATCAGAATCAGGAAGTCTTTGACTCATCAGGGTCATCCCCACCAGCAGCAAGAACTCTTCTGACGATATCTCTGACCAGCTGCTGGTTCTCTACTTGGGAGACTTCAGTGGGTTCCCAAACTTTTGCGTCCATCAGGATCACCTAACTGTGCTGTGAACACAGAGACGGCAGAGGACCTCTGTCCCAGGCTCCAGGATTTCTCTTTTAGTGAGTCTGGGGTGGGTCCTGAGACTGCTTTGCTACCCAGTGATCAGGTAACTTCCCAGTGACTGGGACAGGAACCACACTTGGGGAGTTATCATTAGGGATTCAACACACATCCTTCACTGCCCAGGTCTAATATGCCTGGCAGTCTTTGGGTATGTACCAGGACATTGTATCTGGAAAATGTTTATAGAAATAATTTGTGGCCTAAGATATTTTTCTTCCAGAAAGATTTTGATTGAGTTGCCAGATAGCTGGAGGCACTGGCAATCCAAGGTCCCTTTGATCTGACTTCAGGACTTGAGGTTTTCTAGCCATTCAAGTGACCAGAGGCCCAGTTATAGTTTGTGCAAAGGTTTATCATAGCCCTGGCCCCCATAGGCCCTGGAATCCAGTTTTTGCAATCCTAAGCCCTTAAACCTATCAAAAGCACTGCTCAGCATGAATGTGCCACCTCCAGGTCATCAAATAGCTTCGGGATGAAAGTGGCCCCAATGCCAAATTCATCTCTCTAGATCTTCACCTTTTCTCAAGTCTTGGCCTCATCATTCTTCATGATCTTGCTGGCTGTGTTAGTCAGCTCTCCATCACTTAGAGAAAATACCTGAGAAAATCTTAAATAATCTTAAAATAGTGAAAGTTTCTTTTGGCTCACAGTTTCAGAGGTTTCAGTCCATGGTCACTTTGGACCTAAGACAAAGCCAAAGATCATAGCAGAGTACACAGCAGAACAAAATTGCTCACCTCATGGCCACCGGAAGGAGGGAGAGGGAGAGGGAGAGGGAG